TTTCAATATGTGAAAAGCTGCTGGTGACCCAAGGTTGACAGATGTAAATATTGCTAGCACGAAACTAGAGGGAGTTAAAGAGGGGGAAATGAACCCAGGCGGTGACAGTGAATTCTTTGTCAGTTGTTTGCAAATTGTTTTGTGTGCTGTGACTTGGTCTCTCCTTCTGGCTCCGTCTTGGTGACCCTTGTTGAGACCTTTGCCATCTTAAACTATATGTGAAACAGCGTCCTTTTACTAATACAGGCACTTTCTTGTATTCAGATGGACCCAGAAAGACATGAAATACCTTACTGTGGTGCCAATTTTTCTATGCAGCCCTTGTAATCCGTAGAAAGAATTGCTGCCTGAAGATCCAGTGCATCCCATGTTGATGCAAGCTCTAGGTTAGGTCAGATTACGTTAGTGAATTGGTGTGGACACCCTTCAAAGCTCTTAGTCTTCTGTAAACTTTGTGCAATCGGATACTTAAAGACACCTGAGTATAGTGTAGATTTAATCCATGGTACTGTTATTACCTGGAGCCAGAAGTATTGTTGCTTTCAATAGGGGAAACCACAGCGGGATCTAAAAGCAATGGGCAAGCTCCAAGGTAAACATCAAGGTTTGAAGTATTTAAAGTCCCAAACAGAAAACTGAGTGGAAACCAAATCTGAAAAGAAATAATCCTAAAACACTGCAATGCTGTATCATCTGTTGGTCATTAAAATCCAGCACTTTTTTTTTTTTGTTTTCTAGTCTTCACAGAATGATGGCCGGAACTTTGTGGGGTGCAGGGAGGGGAAGAAGTGGGAGTTGGGGCGGGGAGGGTCAGCACCCAGACCATAATTTGCAAAAGTGATTAAGTCCATCCCCAATCAGCAATGTCTGGCGCTTAGACTGACTTCCGTTTCATTAGGATTTAAGCTTGTCCATATATTTTTACACATTAATTGCTGAATCAGGCCTAATTTACCTCCTGTTTGAGCCAAAGGGACGCATCCTTTTGCTGTGGGTACATTTGAGGAGCGTGGGTACATGGGATTTGCTTACAAAAAGTACACGAGGGATATGCAAAACATAAAAGGAATGGGTGATCTCACCCTTGATCCCAAGAAAGTGATGGCTGCGTTTTGAAGCCGGCAGCAGGAGGTGGGGAACATGTTCAAGCTGTGTAGGAGCTCTGCGTGCTGTGGTGGGCTCCACGTCAGGCTACGGCTCTGCTTTTGGGTGAAAGGTGAGGAGAGCAGAAGGTGTTCAGCCTCAGCAGCCATCTGTTTAGCAGGAAATAGTCTTAGGTGGAGAGCTGGCAGCTGCCCGCCTCCCCCCCCCAAAAAAAACCACTGGGTTGTGGGGAGCAATGGCTCAGGGAATGTCCATCTGGCCCAGCTGCAGTGTTGTCTCCAAGGGCTGTCCTGGATATGGCTGGACACAGCTTTGGTTGCCCATCAAGAACCAAAGGGATGCTCAGGGAGGCCCTAAGTACTGAAAGGGTTGTCAAGCCTTGGAATGGGCTGCCCAGAGAAGTGGTTGAGGCACCATCCCTGGAGGGATTTAAAAGACAGGTAGACATAGTGCTTAGAGACATGGTTTAGTATGGTTTTTGTCAGTGTTAGGTTGATGGTTGGACTAGGTGATCTGAAAGGTTCCTTCCAACCTGGACAATTCTATGACTCTGTGATTCTATGTAAACATTTCCATCCTGAGCTGCAGGAGTGAGGGAGGGGAAGAGACATCCCAAAGAGATGCAGAGAGAGGATTCCATGTGACCTGAAGAGCTGACAAGGAGCGATACAGAAATGGAGTCAGGGAGTGAGACGTGGCCACTTGTTCATTGATGAGGACGTGCTAATAAATAGCTTCACCACAATGATGTGTTACCAGCCTATGGTCAGGACTTCTATCATGGGCGCTGCTATTTGGAGATCCTCATAGGTGTCAGGAGCAAAGAGGAACCTCACAGCCTGGTACTTCCCTTCTTTATCACCATGGCCCAGCAGAGCAGCTCTGGGAGCAGAGACAGGGGACCACTTTGTCTCCTGTCCCAGGGCTCCTCCTGTCATAGTCTGATGCTCTGTTCCTTTGATTTGATTTCTCCTGACCCATTATGGAGGCGATTTCCAAAACAATACAAAGTAGTGCCTGCTCCATTTGAGCTACTAATCTCATGTTTTCGCTCTGTGGATTCAAGGCTGGCATGAAGCCCCAGGGGCAGAGGTGGTGGGCTCCAGGCTCTCCTCTTTACTCTAATCATCACCTTCTGAGATTATCTCCCAAATCCTGTTCCTCAGGGCATTTCCATCCAGGTGAACTGGTGTCCCTGCTCATTCACAATCCTTGCTTTGTGCAGCTCTTGCAGTTAAATCTTCTTTAGCCCCAGAGTGAGGTGAGTTTGCTTTGTTGGTATGTTAATCGCATTCCTCCTGGTATTGTCTTCTCTAGCCAGTTGTGTGCTTAGATTGCAATGCTTGATCGCCTTCAAGAGCAGTTGCTGTTAGGTCTAGTCCCCAAGTTACATGCCATAAGAAATTATAATGAATGATAAATTATCATTATTATTATATAAATAATCATAGTTGGAAGTGACCTTCAAGATCCCACAGTTCCAACCACAGCCCTGGGGAGGGACACCTCCCACCAGCCCAGGTTGCTCCAAGCCCCCTCCAACCTGCCCTTCAACCCCTCCAGGGATGGGGCAGCCACAGCTTCTCGGGGCAACCTAGGCCAGGCTCTCACCAATATTTCCCATCCCAATGGGGGGATCTATCGATTAGGAAATGGAGAATTGACCCGCCACAGCTTCTCGGGGCAACCTAGGCCAGGGTCTCACCAATAGTTCCCATCCCAATGGGGGGATCTATTGATTAGGAAATGGAGAATTGACCTCCAGAGCCTGCAGTAGCTGTTGTGGGTTTTCTGCTCAGGTTTCAGTTGTTTTGTCTTCTCTTCAAGAACCAACAGAATAAAAATATTTTCTCCAGAGCTGACTCCATGTAGAAACACATGGATGTGGTTGTGTGTCTCCGTTTACATCTCGGAGCATCTTTTGGCTGAATACTATCCATTATCTGAGACATCTGAGCCTACTATCGCTCCAGTTAATTAAGAGTTTAATTGGCAGTTTAAGGGTTGCGCTTTTGCGATCCAATTTTCAGTGTACTTGGGAACATCTTGGGACCATCATCCAATGAAGCCTGGAGCCCTTCCTGTTGATTTCTCAATTGATGTGAGATGTCTGTGGAAGGAGGTTTCCATCTCGACCGTCCCTCTTTCCCACCCCCCTTGTCTTCGCAGTCATAAATTACCCCCGTTAATCCCTGGCGTCTGGCTTCTCCCCGTGAAGGGGAACACAACGCTGCGTGAATGCGGAGCTGGTAGCGGAGGAGTGCTGGGAGATGTTTGAGGTGTCCTGGAAGGCAATCCTGGCACTTCTTCCTGCTAATCCCATTAGCTGGCCCTGGCCACTGTGACAGGGCTCTGGGGAGCCCACAGCCGGCCGCTCGCTCTAAGCCATGCACACAATGGGTGGGTGACTTCAAAGAGGCTAAATGGGATTTGCATTTCCAAGCTCTCACAGCCAAGGTCTTCAGGAGGGGATGAAAGTGTCTTTTGTTAAACTTAATGGCAGAGTTGATTAAAAAAGCTCTGATTTATTTTTTTTTTCCCCTATTAAGGCATAGTCTGATGCCACTGTTTGGCTTTGGGCGTCTGGGGGAGGATGAATTCTGACAAAAAAAAAAAAAGCACACCAAGAAAGTAACCTATCCCCTCCCCAGCTGTGATCGTACTCAGGGATATTCCAATATCATTTCTCCTAATTTGAGAGCCATATCGTAGCTGTCTTGGGTGGGTACGGGCAAATTGTCATTAAGCATCTCCCTGTAGGCAGAGCCAAGGTGTCTGGATTTCCAGAAAAATGTGTCCCAGATATCTCCAAGTAGGTTCTCAAAGCCAGAAAGTAAAAGAGCTGATTCATGGAGTTGGGTGCGTGTTTCAGCGCTCACGTATGCAAACCCCTCCTCAAAACACCCATAAAACTATCTGCTGTGTGCCAGCGCTTGGCTGCTGGTTATCTGCTCAAAATAAGCAGTGACTGCTCTGCTCTTCAGAGGGTTAGCAATTTCCTCTCTTTGCTTTGTTTGAAGAATATTGGCAAATAATTTCACATCTGGATTTATGTATTAAATGTCTCCTATATTGCATAAAACAAAGCACCTAATGAAAGAAATCTGTCTATTTAACTCCCGTCTTAGCTTTGGTTCTGTTTTAGCAATAACCGTTACCACACTCGGGGAAGATTGAAGAAACATTTCCTATTTCAAGGGTATCAGTGCTGGGGGTGGTTTGACTTTCTAGATAGGCTTTAAATTCTGTCTCTGCTGGCATGGCTCTTCCTGCTGTGTTTATCAATCCGAAGGACAAGTTTGGTTCAAGAGGAGAAAACAGCATGTTGGCTGCTTTAAATAAACAGCAATGCTTTTTATCAGGCAGTTTATCTTTTCTCTTGTAATCCAGGCTGAATGTAGCCTTCCCCCTCATGCAGAAATCATTAATTTCGTATAATGTTGATGCGTTTTCTGTCTAACCTGAAATGCCACCAACTGTTTTTACCAGGCAGCTGAAGTTTGGTTTAAAAAAATAAATAAATATTCGAGATCTTGTTGAATATAGGGATATAATATATATAATATAATCCTTATATTGGTGAGATACTGAAAACTACCTGCAGCAGTGTGGGAACCCTTTAGGGTTAGAATCACCCGGGGCACAAAGCCCGTGCCCCCTGCGCTGCCTAAAGACCATATAATCCCTTATCACAGGCTCTTAATGGAGGGGACAGGGGCACATGGAGGGAGGGGGATCCTGTGCTGGGTGAGACCCCCCCAGAACGAATCGCCCAGCACAGGACAAACCCTTACTTTGGCCTGGGATAATACAAGTGCCAGCTCCCCGGAGGGACGTTTTGTTGCGAAGTCAGGTGTGAAATGTTTCACCCTTTTTGTGCTCCTGATTGATTTCAGGGACGAGTATGAAGAGGACGGGTTCTGCCAGCCCTACCGGGGCATCGCCTGCGCCCGATTTATTGGGAACCGAACCATCTACATGGAGTCCTTGCATATGCAAGGTGAAATAGAAAATCAGATCACAGGTGGGTCAAAAAATGCGCCCGCTTCTTTCCCAGGAAGCTGTCTTTTTCCCAAAAAGCTGCAAGAGTTTTATAGACTGCAATACTATTTTTATTTCCTCTTTATCCTCTCCTGCTTCCCACCACAAAGCTCTCCCAGGACTCGTGTGGTGTCCATGGAGGGGGTCCTCTGAAGAGTGACTGAGCAGCCCACCGTGTCTCTGCTGATCCAGCTCCCCAAAAGGAAACTAAAATATGATTTTCCAAGGAAAAGGGGTTGTATATCCCCAGCTTCTGGGAACAGCTCAAAGCCAGGCTACTTTGAGCTGCTTTTTCCCAAGCAGATTTGAAAAGTGAAGGGAGACCCCAGACTTAGTTAATTATTAGGTGGTTGAGATCATTCAGGAGAGCCAGAAGTGCTGGAACAGGCTGCACCTCTTCCAGCATAAGATAATGTATGCGAAAATAATTCAGCAGGTCAACTTTTCCCTTCAGATTTAGTAAAGAACGATTATTCATTGGTTTTGTAAGAGATGCTGTGCTGCTGGGGGGGCTGAATTCAAGCTGAGGCCTCCAAAGTCCCACGATGCTTCTCTGGGTTTTTCTATTCATTAATCTCAGCCAGGTCCTACCCAGAAATCGTCTTGCCTACATGCAGGATTTCTCTTGCTGTCAGAATATCCCAAATTTCTCTTCCCCCTGGAGTGTTCTTCCTTCAATTTGTAAAGGCTGTCAGCATTGGGAGAGAGACTTCTGCCTTGCTCACAGGAGAGGCCGATGGTTTCTGTACAGTCAACAGTTCATAATCTCATGTCATTTATTTTGTTTGAGAAGTCACTTGGAATGTTCTCAAAGCTGTGACCTTCCACGAAGGTGCTGGTACTGTCATCCTGCAGCCTGCAGGGTTTTCCCCTGCTGGGTAACAAAAATCCAAATATTAACTGACTTTGCAAACCGTTATAAATTATTTGGGGGGAAAAAAAAAAAAGTATAATCAGGTTTGGGGTTTTGGTAGCGCACTTAATCCCGTGGTGAAAACCAGATGTGTTTTTCTCTGTCAGCAAAATCAGCCTCGTTAATAACTTTTAATGTGATTAGCACACTGTACTTCTGCAAGGCCCGTTCGTCACCTGAACATCTGAAAATAATAGTGGCTCCGGGAAGTGCGGGTTACGCTGGGGAGGCGAGAGCGCGGGGAGAAAATTCCCCCCGGGTGGAGTAAAATCCTTTTGTGTATTTTCCAGCTGCCTTCACCATGATTGGCACTTCCAGCCATTTGTCAGATAAGTGCTCCCAGTTTGCCATCCCTTCGCTGTGCCATTACGCCTTCCCCTACTGCGATGAGACCTCCTCGGCTCCCAAACCCCGAGACTTGTGCCGCGACGAATGCGAAATCCTGGAGAACGTCCTGTGTCAGACGGAGTACATCTTTGCGAGGTCTAATCCCATGATTCTGATGAGATTAAAGCTGCCCAACTGCGAAGATCTTCCCCAGCCAGACAGCCCCGAAGCTGTCAATTGTATCCGCATCGGCATCCCAATGGCAGATCCCATCAATAAAAGTAAGTGAAAACCGCCTGTTTCACAGAATCACAGAATCTTCTAGGTTGGAAGGGACCGTAAAGATCATCTTGTCCAACCGTCAACCTGACTGACAAAAATAGACACCCACACAACAAACAAGGAGCATCATCACTAAACCATCCCTCCCAGCACTACATCAACCTGTCTTTTGAACACCATTGCATAGAATCATAGAATGGTTTGGGTTGGAAGGGCCCTCAAAGATCATCAAGTTCCACCCCCCCTGCCCTGGGCAGGGACACCTCCAACCACACCAAGTTGCTCAAAGCGCCATCCAGCCTGGCCTTGAACACTTCCAGGGATGGGGCAGCCACAACTTCCCTGGGCAACCTGTTCCAGTGTCTCACCGCCCTCATAGTAAAAAATTTCTTCCTGAGATCTAATCTGAATCTTTTTTCTTCCAATTTAAAACCGTTTCCTCTTGTCCTACCATTACCCTTCCTGGCAGAGAGTCCCTCCCCAGCTCTTCTATAGGCACCCTTCAGATATTGAAAGGCTGCTATTTCTCCATATAAAAGATGTGGCTGGGAAAAGGTTGGCTGTAAGGGCTTGTGCATCCGAGTTGGGACTGGTGCTGGGCTTTGGGAGCTCACAGACACCGTGCTCTTGAATTACCACTCCCGTGCTTCTCCCCTACTCCAGAGCACCTAGAAACTCAGAAATATTATTTTCAGTTATTTCTCTGGCTGCCTATTTTTCTCTGGCTAACGCTAAATGCCATTTATTGGTTCCAGCTCTTTTCTAATTGATATGATGTAGGAAACCACAACAGTGTAAGCATTTGAGGACTGAGGATCGTCAGAAGCTTCAGCCCTGACGTGCAGGGTGCAGTATAGGGAGGGAGGAACATCTATAGGGGCTGGGTCCATGGCTGTCCCTGCCTAATAACACCTCGTTTTAGGCATGGGCTGAGCTGGCTCTTTGATCAGGCTGGGCTGCAGCCCCGCTCACAGCCCTTCTACATCTGAATAGTCAAATATAAAACGTGGCTCCCACCAATTCTCCACCTTCCTATGAAAATAATGGCTGCGATTCAGGTTCCCACTGTAGTTTTTACTTCTTTTGTGTATCTTATATTAAAAACGCTTGGCATAAGCTGTTTTCATTACAGAAGCATAAGCTTTAAATCCTCCCAGGAATGCGAATGCAAAGCAGGCCCTGCCTTACAGCCGCAGCAAATTGGGAGCCCGTGCTCCCAAACTGGGTTTCCCGGCCGTGGGCCAGCAGCGCTGCGCCGGGGCTGGGGGATGCCGGGGTGCGTTGGCCATCTGCCCTTGCCATCACCAACTCTTGCTGTGGTGGTTTTATTTCGTTGTTTTATTTTATTTTTGTTAATTTCTAATTTTATTATTATTTCAGTAATCCTTATTTTATTTCATTTTCTTTTTTTTTTTTTTTTTTTCAGACCACAAATGCTACAACAGCACGGGAGTCGATTACCGGGGGACGGTGAGCGTGACGCGGTCGGGGCGGCAGTGCCAGCCCTGGAACTCGCAGTACCCCCACACTCACACCTTCACTGCCATCAGGTACCCCGAGCTCAACGGGGGTCACTCCTACTGCCGCAACCCCGGCAACCAGAAGGACGCCCCGTGGTGCTTCACCTTAGATGAGAACTTCAAGTCTGAGCTTTGTGACGTCCCGGCATGTGGTAATTACCAGCCTTTTATATGTTTCATAGAATCATAGAATTGCCCAGGCCAGAAGGGACCTCCAAAGGTCATCTAGTCTGACCTCCCCGCAGTCAGCAGGGACACCCCCAACTAGACCAGGTTGCCCAGGGCCTCGTCGAGCCTCTCCTTGAATATCTCCAGGGAAGGGGCCTCAACCACCTCCCTGGGCAACCTGTTCCAGTGCTCCACCACCCTCACAGTGAAGAACCCTCTCCTAATCTCCAGTCTAAATCTGTTCCCCTTCAGCTTGAAGCCATTGCCCCTCGTCCTGTCACTACAGGCCTTTCTAAACAGGTTCTCCCCAGCCTTCCTGTAGGCTCCCTTCAGGTACTGGAAGGCCGCTATTAGGTCTCCCCGGAGCCTCCTCTTCTTCAGGCTGAACAACCCCAGCTCCCTCAGCCTGTCCTCGTAGCAGAGGTGCTCCATCCCCCTGAGCATCCTTGTGGCCCTCCTCTGGACCCTCTCCATCAGGTCCATGTCCTTCTTATATTGAGGGCTCCAGACCTGCACATGTTTCGGTGTCTTATGTCCATACCACAGCCTTGCAAAAGGAGGGGGGAGCTGGGCACAAAGTGCTGGCACAAAGATATTTAACTGGGGCCAGGAGGTGGAGAAGCAGCAGCACATTTCCAGCCCAAGCGTCCCAGGCTTTCCAGGATCGATAGGATCAATACGACCCCTTAGTCTCAAATTAAATTGGGTGCCAGAAGCCACACTCTTTGACGCTGATCCACAAGGTGGTTGTAAAACATTCTCCATTTCACTTGGTTTATTAAGAGCCCTTTTAATAAATGCAAACCTCGCTTAAACAAATCTTGAAAAAATCAAGATGATCTTGCCAGGACCCCTTAGCCGTACTGTAAGTTTGTGTTTACACAACTGGTTTTGCAAAATGAACAAAAATGGAGATTCAGCTCTCATTTTATTCTGCTTTTCTGAGTCCCAGGGGGAGTGGATGGCAGACCTGAATGAATGGTTCCTAATGGTTTTATCTGCATTTAGAAATAATAATATCGACAGCGTGCCAAGAAAAAAATACAGCTATTTGCATGGACATGCCAGAAATGTACCCAGAAATGGGCTGGAAATTCACGGTATAAAAGTTTCACACAAAATTGTATGTTGCCTACAAGTTGTCACAGTAACGTTACCTTTCCCCTCGGAAAGGAGATGCCTTTTGATGTTATTGTTCGATAGCCAGAACCAAATTAAATTATTTCTGGTTATGGTTATGAACATTCCTGCAGGGAGACATGTTCTGAGCCTGCTCCAAAGTCTTTTTCAATTAATGGAAAGATGGGAATCGGTGCCAAAATAGGATCTAAATTATGTTCTTACTGAAAGAGTAGATCAGGGGAAAGGCAGACAGTCTGGGCTCTGTCATGTGCATCTCAAACCCTCTCTAACATTTACACACACTGTTTAGAGGACAGTCTGGGCTCTGTCATGTGCATCTCAAGCCCTCTCTAACATTTACACACGCAGATTCCTGTATCTCTTTTGCTATTATTTCAGTGCATTTAACTTCAGTTATTTTTCTTGTTAATTAGGCACAGTAATAGACTGACTACACAGAATCACAGAATGATATGGAGATCATCTCCTCCAACCCCCTGCCAGAGCAGGGTCACCCAGAGCAGGTTGCACAGGAACGTGTCCAGGCAGGTTTTGAATGTCTCTGGAGAAGGAGACCCCACACCCTCTCTGGGCACCCTGCTCCAGGGCTCTGCCATCCCCAAAGTAAAGAAGTTCCTCCTCATGTTGAGATGGAATTTCCTGGGTTCCAGCTTGTGCCCGTTGCCCCTTGTCCTGTCATCAGGCACCACTGAGAAGAGTCTGGCCCCATCCTCTTAACACCTCCCCGTTAGCTATTGCTCAGCGTTGGTACCACTGAGAAGAGTCTGGCCTCATCCTCTTAACACCTCCCCTTTAGCTATTGCTCAGCGTTGGTAAGATCCCCTCTCGGGCTGCTCTTCTCCAGCTGAACAGCCCCAGGTCCCTCAACCTTTCCTCATCAGAGAGGTGCTCCAGTCCCTTGATCATCTCTGTAGCCTCCACTGGACTCTCTCCAGTAGTTCCCTGTCGTTCTTGAACTGGGGGGCCCAGAACTGGACACAGTACACAGGAATATTTCAACCTATAAAACTGTTCCAAAGATATTTTTCAGCCCTTCAGTACAAAAATGGGGATCTAAGTAGCAAGACTCCCTGTATGTTGGCTCTTGGCTCCCCACCCCAGGAGCTGCAGGTGCCTGGGCTGCTCCAGGTGAGGAAAAGTGGCTCAGACCCCGGGCATTTGGGCAAGCTCAGGGGTCTCTGCGTGTCCACCAGCTCCAGCGATGGAGCTTTCTGTACTCACTGCGCTGTCACTGCACGACCATTCAGCCCTGTGCATTTTGTGTTTTCCACAACTTTGGGATAATTGGATAATTAAGAGTTGATGGGGGGGGCTGCTTGCCAGGGACCCTCTGGATGGGCTCCGAGATCCCAGGACTGGCTCAGTCTTTTGATCTGAAACAGCTGAAAGCAGGACGCTTTTGGACGTGTTGCAAAAGTCTCTGATTTGAACGTTTTACTAGATAATGGATGAGATAGTTTGGCTGGCTTGAGGAATTCCCAACAAGGGTTTTAATTACCTCTCCCCACTACCTTAAATGGTACTCGCTGTGCAGCTGGCATTATTATTCTAAATGCAGACAAATGGAGCTATATCAGGTGAGTAGTAATTTAAGTGTTAAATGCTAATCTGCATATTAAAACCAAAATACCATGTGAGACTGGCATTCTGCTGGTTTTGCGCTGGCTGAAAGCCATTTCAGGCACATTTTAATAAGTATTGTGCATTCTGCCTCACCAGGACATGCCTACGTGGAAAATGGATTTAATTAGGGTGGCTCCCAAGAAACCTGTTAACTTAATGAGGCTTCACGGCAGGGGCTGCAGCTTAATAGGAATAATAATTCCCTTTGACTGGAATAGCTCAGGTGATGAACTGGTGCCCAGGTCCCCGTCTGCCTCGTGCTGGTGCTTTCTTTTTCTTCCTTCAACTGTATCTTTCAGTTGTCTCACAAGCTGCAATAGATTCGTTTCATAAAAGTTTGTCAACCTGAATATAGGAAGATGTGAAACACGGAGTAATTGGAGCATGAAGCTCAGCAAAGACAAACCTAAGAAGGTTTTGAAGGGGAAGGAGGAAGGGCTTTGATTGTGTGTCCGTGCTAGAGGGCAGCAACTCACGAAGGAAACCCATAGTTGGTCCATGCTGTAGAGCTGGATGTTCTCTGAAGACAGGGTGAGAGCACACACCACCCTTCTGTTGGGCACAGGGAGACTGTTCGGGGATGCTTTAGTCCTCTCTTGTTTCCCAAAGCCTGTAGAAATATTTGCACTACCTCCACTCTCAATTAAAAACCAGATGGTTTTTAAGAACTTAAAAGAATGGCCAAAAAGGAGTGTGGGGGGAGCAGAAGGACGGCGTGAGCCTGTAAGAGGAGAGGGGTTATTCAGAAGGACATCCAGAACCATTTGAACTTTGCCTCCGTCACAATTTGAGTCCAACCCAAGCTTCAGATCAAGTTCATGTTTAATTAAGTGCATAAAAGATATCTGTGTGGGCCGCTAAGCACTTTTACAAATCCAGCCTGGAAAACACAGACAAACAAACTGCAGTGACCCTGTAGGAATAATAAAACATTCCCCGTTCTGCCAGAATCTGCTCAGACTTGGACTTTTGGTGGAATTTCACCATCTCCCTCGGAAACAACCAGTCCTGCAGCCCATGGAAATCTTTAAAGTTCCTCTCAGCAAGGTGCCCTGTGAAACCAGAGCCAGCTGGAGGGAGATGAGCGGCTGGTGTCCTGTCTGTCCCTCGCTGGGCACTGGTAGAACAGGGGCTCATCTTTCCAAAGTTAATCACTCGCTCCCTGGCTGTGTGTGGAGGGAGCACGACGTTAAATAGACCGGCTTCCCAACCTCTTCCGGATCCTTCTATATTTTATCCATGCTCTGCCTTTCCTTTCACCCATCATTGCTGTGTCCTTTGCACCAGCGTTTGCCACCCTCCCAATGACACACATAGTGTATAGTTGTGTCCTGGTTTGAGAGGGATGGGCTTTCCCATTAGCCCATTAATCCTATTAAAACCAAGTCCTCAGGATGTAAGGTTTTTTTAAGATAATGCTACAGCTTTTGTCTGTTTTCAGACTCTGAACCCCTTTCCTGATTTCCAGGGATAAAAACCAGGATGGTTCTCTCTCTTTCTTGCCATTTCCATGCATTTTCTCCCGTTTCCCAGGTGTTCTCCATTTCTTCTGCTCTAGTGTCCCTAATTGTCCGGCTCCTGCACCTAAAGCTAGCTAGAACATATGTTTTCTGTTGCGTGTGATGTTTGTTCCAGTGCCCTGGGTGGCCACACAAATGCTTTGGCCAGTGCTAGGAGATGTTGAGAACACAAAGCTGGAAATAAATAAGGGGATAAAACCGTCCTTTTTAGTGGCTCCCCACTTTTCTGTTGGATTAAGGAAACTATGGCACCAAAACCTAATGTACATATAAAAAATGGAGTCCATAATCCCACCAGAGCCTTTCTTCTGTAAGCTGTTTTAGAAATGATCTTTTCTGTGGACCTGCGTTAGACCATTACTTCGTTTCACCCCAAGCAAGAGCCACCTCTCAATATTCAGCTATTTCCTGGCCAGAAGTAGGTTTGGACTCACATGATACAGGGAGAATTCTGTGCTCTTACAGAAATGTTACTCAGCAAAATTAATTGCTCTGTCATTCTTAAGGTAATAAAACAGCGTTCAAGGTGGACTGCAGTAGTATTATCTGGATGTTTTATTCTTTTTAACACTTGTATTTGACCCAGGGATGTGTTTGACTCTGTGGGATACTTCATTCATTGTTGTTTGGCTTTTTTTCTGACCCAGATTACAAGGATTCCAAGGAAAAGAACAAAATGGAAATCCTGTATATCCTGGTGCCAAGTGTTACCATTCCCCTGGCCATAGCCTTGCTCTTCTTCTTCATCTGCATCTGCCGCAACAATCAGAAGTCTTCCTCCCCTCCTGTTCAAAGGCAGCCCAAGCACGTGAGAGGACAGAATGTGGAGATGTCCATGCTCAACGCCTACAAACCAAAGGTGATGCCTCCTTTCTCCTTCCACACTCGCTCTCTGTAAGGGCAGGGAGTGAAATGCTTTGATCAGCTCAGCGCTGAAATATTAAGCTGATTTGAACTGGTGCCTTTGGCTGTAATTTTTGGAAGGACTTTTTTTTTTATCAGCAGCGTAGCAAGTGTGCTGGGCCTGCGGAGGTAATTCCTGTGTGTCCGTGTAGCTGGATAAATAGGAGCTGGGGGTTTCTCGTAATAAACCCGTTACTGAAGCGTCTCCAAATTGCCTCATTTCGGTTAGAAAGTAGTGCAGATAAAGATGTGATTCAGCATTTTCTCAAGAGACATTTTTTTCACTGGTCCTCTGTAGCCGTGTGTCATCTTTGACTCAGCTGAAATCACTTTGGAAAGATTTGTTCCCTGTTTTTTTCAGACTTACTCGTTCTCTCCCTTAAAAAGAGAAATTACCAAACCAGAGCCTCAGAAACCTGCCTGTGGTTCTGGCCAGCACAGCTGATGCAAAGCGGCTGTTTGCTGCTGGTATTGTTTGCCTTCACCCTGGTCCCAGGTTCATGAAGTGTTTTTTAAAACCATTTAAGATTTAAGCATGATTAACCTTGAGCTCCTTATTTATTGGCCGGGCAGCTGGTTTGCAAACCTGTGTGGATCACCCCCTCCAGGGCTGTAACTGCCTCCTGCCACCTACAGGCAGAATAATGCCCTGGAAATGAGTTTTCACCTGGTTTTTCATGCCAATTCTCTTCCACAACTTGCAGGAGATTGTTCTTCTGAAGCATTTCAGAGTGAAAATTAGTATCTACCAGTAATTAGAATAGAAACTGTGTAGACTGTGGTATCATGCCTTTGGGTAAGCTGTTATTTTTGTTAGAAAATGACGTAGCAAAATGAATCCAAATTCTGATTGTGTTGGGTTGCAGCAATACCAGCTCTAACCCTCCAGTATCGCTGCCGTAGGTAAGATGCTCATCGCTCGGCATCAGGAAAGCTTATACTTCAGGAGCTGTGTTCTCCATCTCTGAGTAAATCCTGGAATAGTTTTCATCTTAAGTTCAATAACATAGCTAAGGGATACTGCTGTTGCTTGATCTTTAATGTCAAGTTGATAGAATTGGGTCATGAGGAGTTAATTGTGGCAGCCTGGAGAAAATTACTGATGGAGCTGTATCCCGGGGAGTGCAGGGATGGATGGATGGAGCTGTGCCACCCAGGCACCAGTCCCTCTTTCGGGTCTGACACAGACACAGCAAGAGGAAAATTCCAGCTCACCAAAAGAGGGGGATAAAAGTAAACCCTCCGTGTGGCTCTGCTGGAAAACGCAGCGCTGCTCTTCCCCGTTAGCAATACCAACTGCACACAGGGGTGTTTTTATCTCTAACCTGAGAATTCCTGTTTCAAATGGTGTTGTGGGCACTGGGTGCTGGTGTCGAGGTGCCAGCAGGGCTGTTGGGGGGGGTGTCTGCCCAGGGGGGTCAGTCAGACTTTGGTCTGTTGTTATATTTTACCTCCTCGGTCCCACACACGCTGCCCCCAGTGAATTTATCTCCATTTTCCTTTGAAGTTCTTCATTTCGACTTCCATGCAGAGCTTAGAGTAATGGTAAATTGTAATTTACCATTACTCTATGTAAAAAATACTCAATGGTAAATTGTAATTTACCATTATGGTAATGGTGTAAAACCATATAATTTAAGTGTCAAAACCACATCTTGCATCCAATCTCCATGGAATATTTTGTTAAATTTGCATTTGCTTCTTGGTTCCCGTTCTGCTAGATATGTGGGGGTACAACCCTGGCTAAATTTAAGATAATGGGAACATCAGCATCGTTTTAATGAGGTCGGAGTTTCCACTGCTGACACCTTAAGGGCTCAGCACAGGAGAGGAACTCGCCCAGAAACGTTTGCAAATATAGACCCCACTGTTTCCTTTTAATGTTCAAAGTCATCTGTTCCAAAAAAAAAAAACCCCAACTTTCCATATTATTTATGCTAATTCTGTATTTTCCCACTTGGAAACCTGGCTCGTCCTGTCTCAAATATTTTGATTGCCTTTCAAACATAATGGTAAAAGAAAGGAAGTAGAATCCTATTTTTAAATACTGTATCCAGTATTAATGTCAGCTTTGGGTAGAAACACGCTCCGGCTTCAAGCTCCGGCTGAGGTAGATGTGTGTTTGCTGGTGCAAATAAAAACGTTAGCCTTTCATCCAAAAGCCTGTTTCAGTTTTAAGGGATTTTAATTGCCTTCAGAAAAAATATCATAAACTAAGCTCGTCTTGTCATTCACCTAATGGAAGGAGCCGATAAAGAGATAGAGGCGCTGGGCTTCGCTCTCGCTGCTCTCCCTTTGTACTGGGTTTACTTTGGCGTGCTGCCTCCTATGTATTTTACACTGGAGGTAATTCCTGTGTGTCCGTGTAGCTGGATAAATAGGAGCTGGGGGTTTCTCGTAATAAACCCGTTACTGAAGCGTCTCCAAATTGCCTCATTTCGGTTAGAAAGTAGTGCAGATAAAGATGTGATTCAGCATTTTCTCAAGAGACATTTTTTTCACTGGTCCTCTGTAGCCGTGTGTCATCTTTGACTCAGCTGAAATCACTTTGGAAAGATTTGTTCCCTGTTTTTTTCAGACTTACTCGTTCTCTCCCTTAAAAAGAGAAATTACCAAACCAGAGCCTCAGAAACCTGCCTGTGGTTCTGGCCAGCACAGCTGATGCAAAGCGGCTGTTTGCTGCTGGTATTGTTTGCCTTCACCCTGGTCCCAGGTTCATGAGGTGTTTTTTAAAGCCATTTAAGATTTAAGCATGATTAACCTTGAGCTCCTTATTTATTGGCCGGGCAGCTGGTTTGCAAACCTGTGTGGATCACCCCCTCCAGGGCTGTAACTGCCTCCTGCCACCTACAGGCAGAATAATGCCCTGGAAATGAGTTTTCACCTGGTTTTTCATGCCAATTCTCTTCCACAACTTGCAGGAGATTGTTCTTCTGAAGCATTTCAGAGTGAAAATTAGTATCTACCAGTAATTAGAATAGAAACTGTGTAGACTGTGGTATCATGCCTTTGGGTAAGCTGTTATTTTTGTTAGAAAATGACGTAGCAAAATGAATCCAAATTCTGATTGTGTTGGGTTGCAGCAATACCAGCTCTAACCCTCCAGTATCGCTGCCGTAGGTAAGATGCTCATCGCTCGGCATCAGGAAAGCTTATACTTCAGGAGCTGTGTTCTCCATCTCTGAGTAAATCCTGGAATAGTTTTCATCTTAAGTTCAATAACATAGCTAAGGGATACTGCTGTTGCTTGATCTTTAATGTCAAGTTGATAGAATTGGGTCATGAGGAGTTAATTGTGGCAGCCTGGAGAAAATTACTGATGGAGCTGTATCCCGGGGAGTGCAGGGATGGATGGATGGAGCTGTGCCACCCAGGCACCAGTCCCTCTTTCGGGTCAGACACAGACACAGCAAGAGGAAAATTCCAGCTCACCAAAAGAGCAGGAGACTCACTTTTAAGTCAGGGATAAAAGTAAACCCTCCGTGTGGCTCTGCTGGAAAACGCAGCGCTGCTCTTCCCCGTTAGCAATACCAACTGCACACAGGGGTGTTTTTATCTCTAACCTGAGAATTCCTGTTTCAAATGGTGTTGTGGGCACTGGGTGCTGGTGTCGAGGTGCCAGCAGGGCTGTTGGGGGGGGTGTCTGCCCAGGGGGGTCAGTCAGACTTTGGTCTGTTGTTATATTTTACCTCCTCGGTCCCACACACGCTGCCCCCAGTGAATTTATCTCCATTTTCCTTTGAAGTTCTTCATTTCGACTTCCATGCAGAGCTTAGAGTAATGGTAAATTGTAATTTACCATTACTCTATGTAAAAAATACTCAATGGTAAATTGTAATTTACCATTATGGTAATGGTGTAAAACCATATAATTTAAGTGTCAAAACCACATCTTGCATCCAATCTCCATGGAATATTTTGTTAAATTTGCATTTGCTTCTTGGTTCCCGTTCTGCTAGATATGTGGGGGTACAACCCTGGCTAAATTTAAGATAATGGGAACATCAGCATCGTTTTAATGAGGTCGGAGTTTCCACTGCTGACACCTTAAGGGCTCAGCACAGGAGAGGAACTCGCCCAGAAACGTTTGCAAATATAGACCCCACTGTTTCCTTTTAATGTTCAAAGTCATCTGTTCCAAAAAAAAAAAACCCCAACTTTCCATATTATTTATGCTAATTCTGTATTTTCCCACTTGGAAACCTGGCTCGTCCTGTCTCAAATATTTTGATTGCCTTTCAAACATAATGGTAAAAGAAAGGAAGTAGAATCCTATTTTTAAATACTGTATCCAGTATTAATGTCAGCTTTGGGTAGAAACACGCTCCGGCTTCAAGCTCCGGCTGAGGTAGATGTGTGTTTGCTGGTGCAAATAAAAACGTTAGCCTTTCATCCAAAAGCCTGTTTCAGTTTTAAGGGATTTTAATTGCCTTCAGAAAAAATATCATAAACTAAGCTCGTCTTGTCATTCACCTAATGGAAGGAGCCGATAAAGAGATAGAGGCGCTGGGCTTCGCTCTCGCTGCTCTCCCTTTGTACTGGGTTTACTTTGGCGTGCTGCCTCCTATGTATTTTACACTTCTTTACATTTTGTACACCCATGTATGACAAATACTTGTCAAACAAAAACTAAGCAGATTTATAACCGCTTAACTTGAAATGAGCCCTTCCTGCCAAAACTTTATGACTTCATTTTCTTTCATAGTTTTCCACTATGTTGGTTCAAACAGACAAACCCAGCCTCAGGTCAGACAGAGGTCATTTCACTTTCATTACTAAAATATAATTTACAATATGCCAGACCTAAACAAGTTTTAGCCTAAAGGATTTGTATAATATAAACCATCTGTTCCTCAACAATATAGCTAATTTCCTGCCATCACCATACAGTCTACTGGCTGCCTGCTTAAATGGCATTATTATTATTATTATTATTATTATTATTATTATTATTATTATTATTATTGCGGTATTTCTCTAAAAGTCATAAGTGGTCAATGCGATTAGAATTCATTCATTCTAAAATGTCATTTTTTAAATGATTTTCTAAAATGTCGATTTTTTTTCCTACATTGCCACTGTAAAGCTGCCGTTACATTATTTCAGGAATGTAAAATACTAATGTTTACACTAATTCACAAAACATAGATCCCACACTCATTAGCCTTAAATTACTACCTGTGGCTCTGCTGAGGAGCCTGAATGAGTGGGTTGGGGTGTAGGTGTTACAAGCACATGTGGAAGTTAAGTTGTGTTATTTTCAGATATTCTTTATGGCCTACAAGTGAGTATGAGCACCCAGAATAACAAGAGTTTTTTTAAAAGTTTGCCTTTCTTCTTTGACCACTGTCTCCTTTTTTTCTGGCTGACTCTTTCCTACATGTTTCAGGACTGAAGGCTGAGTCAAGTGTGAGCAGAAATAGTCTGTACTGTACGTTGAAGGGTTAATAGCAAAGTCGAGGAAAAAATGGCTACAAGAACATAGTTTTAAAGAGAGAGTTTTCTGGCCCAAAAAAACACTTCAGCATGTACTTACTTAAAGTATGTGAATTGCCTCAATTCCTGAAATTATTCCATTTTCAGTATATAAATGCCCGAATATATACATGCCCTTGCTGAAAAGCTGATGGTTCCTGTATATGTTTAGATCTAATGCTTACTGTTGCTGCTGATCTTGTTTAGAGGATAAAGAGTAATTCTAAATTTAGTTTTGGAGTGGGGTGCACGGAGATTATTAGGGTGCACTCAGCCCTGAGTCGCCGATGTTGGGGTGCTGGTGCTGTTGGGGTGCTGGTGTCCCTCAGCTCCATGATCCAGGAGCTCCTGTGTCCATCTGCTTGGCTGATGTCCTGGGCGAAAAAGATTTTTATCTTAAAAATACATTTTCAGGCCTATTTTGTTGACGTGTTTTTGGTGTCCTTCCTTTGACAGAGTAAGGCTAAGGAATTACCTCTGTCTGCTGTTCGTTTCATGGAAGAACTGGGGGAATGTGCTTTCGGCAAGATCTACAAGGGACACCTCTACCTTCCGGGCATGGACCACGCTCAGCTCGTCGCCATCAAGACGCTAAAAGACTTTAACAACCCCCAGCAGTGGGCAGAGTTCCAGCAAGAAGCCTCCCTCATGGCCGAGCTCCACCACCCCAACATCGTTTGCCTCTTAGGTGTCGTGACCCAGGAGCAACCCATCTGCATGCTCTTCGAGTACATGAACCAAGGAGACCTCCACGAGTTCCTCATCATGCGCTCGCCCCATTCGGATGTCGGGTGCAGCAGCGATGAGGACGGGACTGTAAAATCCAGCCTGGACCACGGGGATTTCCTCCACATCGCCGTCCAGATCGCGGCGGGGATGGAGTACTTGTCCAGTCATTTTTTTGTCCACAAAGATCTCGCCGCTCGCAACATTTTAATTGGAGAACAGCTTCATGTGAAGATCTCTGACCTTGGACTCTCGAGAGAAATCTACTCGGCAGATTATTACAGAGTTCAGAACAAGTCTCTCTTGCCCATCCGCTGGATGCCACCGGAGGCCATTATGTACGGCAAGTTCTCTTCCGATTCAGATATTTGGTCATTTGGAGTTGTTTTATGGGAAATATTCAGCTTCGGGCTTCAGCCGTATTACGGATTTAGCAATCAAGAAGTCATAGAGATGATCAGGAAAAGACAACTGCTGCCGTGCTCTGAAGACTGTCCTCCCAGGATGTACAGCCTGATGACAGAGTGTTGGCACGACCTGCCCTCCCGCCGGCCACGATTTAAGGAAATCCACGCCCGGCTGCGCTCCTGGGAGGGTCTCTCAAGTCACACCAGTTCTACCACCCCCTCCGGTGGGAATGCCACCACTCAAACGACTTCCCTCAGCGCCAGTCCCGTTAGTAACCTCAGCAATCCCAGGTACCCCAACTACATGTTTCCGGCACAAGGTATACCCCAAGGCCAAATCGCCGGCTTCATCGGGCCACCAATACCTCAAAACCAGAGATATATCCCCATCAATGGGTACCCGATTCCACCGGGATACGCTGCTTTCCCAGCTGCCCACTACCAACCGCAAGGTCCACCCAGGGTGATCCAGCACTGTCCTCCACCAAAGAGTCGTTCTCCCAGCAGCGCCAGCGGATCCACCAGCACGGGTCACGTCACCAGTTTGCCGTCTTCGGGATCCAACCAGGAAGCCAATATTCCCTTGCTATCCCACGTGTCGATTCCTAATCATCCAGGGGGGATTGGTATCACAGTTTTTGGAAATAAAACTCAAAAACCGTACAAAATTGACTCAAAGCAGTCTTCCCTACTAGGCGACTCCAGCATCCATGGACAAAATGAATCTATGATTTCAGCTGAATTGTAAATAAGCGAGGCCTTTGTAAATATAACTATTTACGATACAAACTAGGAAAGTCGTAGCAAAGATTTATATTCAAATATTTTATTAAAGATTCTCCTGGTTGCTTTAACAGACGTTGCAGCAAGTATCTTCTGTGAAGTTTAACTGCTTAACAGGATGGGCAGAACTCAACCAGACAAAGATCATTGTGGTATGAACAACTCAGCTTTGTCAATGGACGCGTTGTTTCTAATTAAGTGCCACCGACAATTCAAAAAAGTGGAAAAAGGGGAAGTGGGATTTTTTTTTTTTTTTTTTTTCAAAGAAAAACATTTTCTCGTAGGCTTTTTCACAGCTTTTTAAACCTCTGATGTGGTTTAAATCATGGAAACTTTTTTTGTACTGAAAGCATATTTTAATATTTGTCTCTTTTTTTAGGAGATGCAAATATTCGGAGATCTACTGGTTGTGCAATTTTGGATCCAATAGCTAGTTAAAATATTTGTAAATTTTGCAGTCAAGGATTATGTTTCAAATATGTGATCTGAGAGCTGAATAAATTACTTCAGGTAGGATTTTGGTCTTTCGTTAAGTTGGGAGTCTGAGTTTAGACCAAAAAAAGTCATTTATTTGACAGCACAATAGCTTGAGTTACCAACTCACAGTCTACAAACGTCATCTGCTATTGGCTGCTAAAGGTGGCTGGAGTTCTAAGAAATTGCCTTAAAGGAAATGAAATTAAAGGGTTTTAATTTCAGAACCTTGAATCAACTTACTCAAAGATAACATTTCATAATCTAGTAGTTAAAGCAGAAATTCTATATCCTTTTGTTGCTATGCAACTGTTTAGTGGAAAGGCTCCAAACCACAATTTTATATATGACAATCAATTTTCCCAGGAATATTTATTGTTTCAGATCAATGAGTAATTTCAGTGACTATGACTCCAGTAGCCCTGAAAAAAGGGAAATTCACTTTCTCCAGTAGCCCTGAAAAAAGGGAAATTCACGTTCCACCATCAGGCAGCAAATCCATTGATAGCAGTTTTTGCTTATCAAGTCTAATAATGTGAATTAGTGTTGACTTTCGACTTAGAACCTAAGACATTTGTATAATTACTAAAAATTCATTCAGGTATAAGCAATCTAGATTATTCATTTGAAACCACTTTAATGAGTTACAGAAGTGCTGTGTACATGACAGTTTTTTTTCACAGACTCTCTTTTGTACTGAATAGTATTTTTTATTGTACACGGAACGAAAACAATCTTTTGCTCAGTTGACAATGTTGTATAATATGACTTTATTTTTTATCTTTTTGCACAGAAGTGTGATAATGTTTTGTACAGCAGAAGTGAAAATACATCTCTGCATTTTATATCTCGGGCTGTTTCTTTTTTATTTTTAACCTGATGTAGATGTTCTTGAAATATATTATGGTGATACTCAGCCACTACCTTATACAAATATTTTTCTTTGTTTTCACTGCATGCGTTTAATCACTGTATTACTTGATGATTGATTTATTAATTATGGGCATTTCAATTAGGCAAGCATGAAAATGTAATAACAAAGGCTATTTTATAATTAAGATATGTGCATTTTTGTATTTCACATGCCAGAGATGATATTAAACACTGATTATTTTATGCTGCTGTTTATTAAAACATTGTTTTAACGTAAACATACCGGCATTTCCTCCATCTTGGCCTGAGATATTTGAAAAATTTCGGGTTTAAGAGAGCTGAAATCCCTACTGGGAGTAGGGATCCTGCTGAAATGGGACATGAGAGTTTTGCAAATCAGATTTGCAGACAGACTGCTGAGGGGTAGCTTACGGAGGCTTAAACGAATATTTGACTGTGCAAATATTTGCAGGACACACCAAAGAAACGGGATGCCGTAACCGCCCCGGGAGAGCGATGGTGCAGTCTTGGCTGTGATCCTCGTGGGTGCTGCTCAGCTCCGCACCGAGGGCTGGCATCGCCCTTTCCACCCCTCACTTAACTTCTATGTCCTGCTGCATCATCTGAGCTTCTGTGGTACCTTCTGTTGCTGCGGCATCCGGAGCTGCAGGCTTGAAACTCTGCTTGCAAGTTAAGAACGGTCAGTAATTATATAGTAAGGACTTGGTTGGACTCGATGATCCCAAGGGTCTTTTCCAACGTAAATGATTCTATGGTTCTATGACTTTTGTGATTTCTGAGGTACTTTATGATCCTGAGATGTCAGCTTCCATCTGGCTTGAATTTGCATCTGGGTCAGTAATGAAAATACGTTACGTTAGCTAAAATTTAGTTTTGGCTAAAGATGCAGACAATAATTACATCTTATTAACTTCTGTGTTTGCGTCGGGATACCAGAGCCAAATGCAAAAAAATTACTTTTGGGCAGAGGTGTTTTACAGGACCAGATGAGATGTTTTTCTCTGAGCCATGGCTGTTCCCATAACCAGAGGTGAGGGAATTGCTCTTTCTCCCTTACGAGCACACACAGCTTTGCGGCGCTCACTGGGCATCTTGTTCAATAGACAGTAATTCTGTTGTCGTCCTTGATCCATCTTTTCTCTCATCTACCCCTGCCTACTTTTTCAAGTGGTTGCATCAGCGCAAACAATCCTTTTGCATCTTGAGCATCAAATGCACTGAGGAGGAAGAAGCCTTTTTTTTCTACCTATTTTTCCTATGGGATTTCTTCGCTTGTGCCATTAAGGGCTTGAAATTTCAACAGTGCCAGTTTAAAGACAGTCTGCTGTATCGTAGGTGTCTGGTTTCAGAAACAGAGGAAGCTCTATGCAGGCAAACAAGTCTTAGGTTATGCTGTTATGGAAAAATCTTTGGTAAAGAACGTGCTGTAAATGAAATTAATGGAGAAATAAGAACCTTTGCGCCATAGTTGACACACCGACATTTGTGCAAAAACATGACTGAAAAAGATATTGAGATATGATCAGTATATGAGATATGGTCAATGATTTCAAAGTATTTGCTTATCACTGTTAAGCAACAGCCTTCACTGAGTGAACGTGTGAAGCAAATGGAAGTATCTCCAGGAGGCTTTTCATCGGCACAGGCTGGAAAAGACAGGACTGGAACCAGCTCAAGAGTCGTCAGGAACGATGGGCTCTGCCGGCTGGGGATGGCAAGTGATGTGTGTCCTCTCGGGTCAAGTTGGAACATGTTGGGCATCGTGCCATAGCTCAGTTCAGTTCTGTAAAGATGAACCCCACTCGGGTCAAACTGCCCTCACATCAGCACCCTGCACACCGGCTCTGCCACCGCTCGCAGGTAAGCTTAGCTGTGAATTTGCATTCTTGGCTTTAATCACCCTGATGGGAAAGCAGTAACTTAATACTTCATGGAGCACCAGTGGGAATCATAAAATAGTCCCTCGCACACACTTTGTGGGTTTATGTCAAAAACCCAGGAGCTGCCGTGCAAGCCGACTCACAGCTCAGCTTAGGGTTTTTCCTTTATTTCAAAGTCAGCTGGGTTCTTACAGTTAAAATATTTTTAGACTCACAGATGTAAAGCAGCACTGAACAACGCACCTGAAGACTCCTGCAAAGAACCTCTTCCTGCCCTTCTCTCCCTCTCACAGCGGATGAAGTTTGTGAACTGTGAGGCTGAAATCAGAGTCTGGCTCACAACCGATGCGTGGGGAACAAACGCTAACGCAGAGAGGCAGGAATTCATCAGGGAGAGATTAGAGGGGTGGGGGGAAAAAATCTTCTAAAACCCAATTAGATAATGTGGAAAATAAACGTTGCCAGAAATTAAGGAATTACTCCTCAGGTGGGACTGCAGACTGATACAGATGAAAGCCATTTTTGTGGCAAACGAAGAGGGAATTCTCCAGATTCCTAATGGTACATGCTAGAATCATCATCCCTTCTTCCTTCAAAGAGAGAGGACAGCCAAGGCTGTGGAAATGCAGTAATGGATTGAGAAGCTCTAGAGGTTTGGAAATAAAACTCTGAATAAACACTGTTTAGTAAGCCCTCAATCTGGAGAATCTCATTCCCTCCAGGTTAGCTTATATTTCTGTAAGAGAGAATAAATATTTGCTGATTAAAAGACCAAAATGCAGAGTCTGCAATGGAGATTTTGTATCCTTTGTTCCCACAGAGGAGTGATTATAGCGGGTTTCTGCATTCTCTGGATTGAAAGCAGAAGGTAAAGCAGAGAACTACTTGTGCAGAAATTCAGGCTGGAAAACTCAGAAATACCAGAATATGTTTATCCAGAGCATGAGAAATGGTCAAAAAGGAATCTATGGTTTCCTTTGCACGACTAAGGGTATCCAAGAAGGTCGCAGGCTTGGAAATACTCTATTACATTTGCTTGTTGTTCTGTTCTGTAACCTACAATCACCAGGAGAACTTTAAAATGTCCACCTAACTCAAAACACTCCTGACGGTAAGGGCAGGCGATACGAAAACTCTCTCAAGTACAAACACATGCCGTTCCTTGTGGACCCAATTCTATGGAATAAGTACCTTCAGCATCTACTGGCTCTAGTTACTGCATTTTTGCCTCGTTGGCAGGATTCACTCTTCTCAGTATGGCTGAGCGTTGTCTCCTCACGAAGTGGAGTTGTTTGAGCAAGTAGGGAGATACATATATTTTTTGTCAAAAAAAGTCTTCTCATTGTTCTTCATGGCTTCCAGTAAAACACACAGAACTCCACAGGGGTCTTTGTGCTGATTTTAGCGGTGCCTGAATCAGGCTTTCTACTTTCTGGAGGGTTCTGAGGAGTTTTAATGAGCTTGATAAAACCCTGGACTTGCAGCCTGTACCTGTGAGGAATTTGATCTTGCAGTACAAGTTCACAACGGGTTCTGGTGTCTGCACAGCGTGTGTCACAAAGTACCAAGCCAGCAAAAAGAGACATGTTAACACATTGGTTCAAAAGAATAATTTTGTTCAAGAACTGTCTTTTGTTCCGGAGTACTACAATAAACTAAAAAATAGGTGAGTTTTTTATTTGCTGGAAAAAAGACAGCATCTTTATGTCATAGTATTTTAACCAGTATTTCTTTAGAATATCAATAATTCCTTCTGTGATCAGGGAATGGAATGAGCAGCCACGCTAAGCTGAGTTTCACCACCTCTGGTTCTGCTGGAGAACCTCAGTGGAAAAAGGAGGAAACTGGGTGAAGCTGGTGGTGAACAAACCTCTTGTGGAGAGGAAGCTCTAGCTGCGTTTCGAATGAGCACCTCCTTTGTGTCCGTAAGATCTACGTACCAATTCCTCAGTTCCCCTCCCCAGGTATCACCGTGTCTTCATGGTATGTGACCTTGCACCTTCGCACCAGACATTTATTTTGCTTGAGACAGAGCCAGCACATTTATTCCAGCGAAAAGACGGTAGCCAAACACTTCTGGGCTGTTAAGACTTGCAAAGCGTGGCTAAACCCAGGAGGTCTAAGGGTGCTGGGACCAATCTTAAAGCATGTAGTCACTCAAACCACATCCTTGAGTTCTGGGAGAGCATGCTTTCTTTTGGCTGCATCTTCAATGGTGATGGGGTTCTTTTTGGGGCCCCACGTCTGCTCTCTCCACGGGCCTGAAAGCCTCTCTCAAAGATGTGACGTTCATGGAATCCGAGAAGCAATTTTTATCTTGCTATGGGCTATCTTTTATAGGAGGAGAGAATATTGCCCCCAAGTCAGTCACTCTCTAGCCCATCATATTTCTTCCTGTTTGATCTCTCAGAGATTAAAGTTCAGTATATTTCAGGACAGTTATATTGCTGAGGTAATATAAAATTATTAAAAACAGAGAGAGAGACAATATTGTGACTACACATCAAAAGCTCTTTAAGACAAAGGAGGGAAAATTGACTTGAAACTGGAATTATTAGAAGCATCTGTGGTGTCCTCTATTTTCCGTTTAACAGTGCAACACATTTTGGAATGGTGTCTGACTGTTTCAAACTGGGCACCTGGTACTGCCTTAATTTTCTGATTTGTACCC